TACCCACAAACACCTCTCACCTGGACTGTGGGACTGTCTTATCCACAAACAGGAAAATTGCCTTTTCAGAAGGAAGCTGGATCCTTTTCCTGATGATCCACATGAACTGAGCCACAGTAATGTCAGATGGAACCAGATACTTCCGTTTGTCAATGTCTACAATCTGAGAGCCTGAAACTTTTTCCACAATCACCTGGGAAAGCAAAGAGAGGTCAGGATTTCTAATGTGAGGCTCTGGCCTTGTATTGTCAGGGAGCTGATGACTAGTGTGGGCAAGGAGGTGGGTGGGAAACTGCATCATATGCGAAAATATGCCCCCGACTTAATAAACCACACACTCTTGAGATTAAATAAGAGCTGATACAAATGTGTTATAGGGAAATTATAAGTGCTTCTCCGTGGTCAGTTATTGTATTTCTCATCCCTGATCTCAGCGTGCATAAGAGAAACACAGCTGTTGCTACAAAGCTTTTCAACATTTTGTCTGGACAGACCCGAGAGTATCTGCAGAGGGTTTCATCTGCAGCCTGCTACTCCAGGACCCCAGAATGGATCTGCCTTCACACTACAGAAAAATCAAGATCCTAAGGAACACAGGAAATGAAAATGGATGGACTAATGGGAATGACTGGCAATACCAGCCAACCAAGAACCAAGCTGTTCGTTTGGCCTGTTGCTTCTCTCTGAACTAGGTTTCAAATTTGTCCCTCCTGCTGCCTCTCCAGAGGAAGTGATCACAAACAACGAGCTACAGTAACAAGCCTGATGTCCTTTAAAAACCAGTAAGGATTACAGAAACTATCTCCCTACCATAGAAGACATATAGGATATTTCTTATTTCTTAATCATATGTATTACTGATGAAGGGGAACTCAGAGAAGAGAAGGGGTTTTCAGAGGCTTTTCAGATTTTTTTTTTGGTCAGGAAAGGATGACAAGGTCAGGGGGAGGGAACGGAGCCAGAAGTCAGATAAAGATGAAGGCTCAAAGTTAACGACGGACACCCTGAGACTAAAGTACCACTTGCAAGACCAAAGTGAGAGACTCCCTCCACCAACCGTTCCCAAAAGTGGCAGTGACCTGTTGCCCTGTCCTAGAACATCGTTCCTTATATAATTGGCGAGGGAGCCCAGACGCTGCAGACAGCTCACTGGCCTAGATCGGGATATTCAACACTGAGGCACCCCGAAAAGTACCAGCTCGAGCCTCTCAGGCCTCGGCCCAGGACGGCCCCTTATCCAGTCCGGCCTGTCTGCTAGTATAACTGGGTCTGGAACCTCAACTCGTTAACTGTTGAATGGCCTAGGGCCCTATCACGGCTGCTAGAAGACGGGGGTACCAGCGAGGTGAAGGGGCGGGGAGTCCACTCACCGGAACCCGATCGGGATATTTCGCTCGGATCTTCGCCGATTCCACGCATCTGTGTTCTATGGGAGAAACCCACAGGGATGACAGTCGCGCCTGCCCGCCAAGGGATGCCCGGGGCCCCCGACCCTCCTCCCTCGGCAACCTGCGCACGCCCCGGACCCTCGTTCGGGCTCCCCGGGGCCTCGGTCCTCGATCCCCAGGCTCCCGGCAGTGCCCGCGGACGGCAGCACGGGATCCATGGGCAGTCGCCCGGGGCGCCGGGATTTCGGCGACCCGAGCCCGGAACGCAGCATCCGCCCCGCCGGGCCCAGCCCAGGGCGGCCCGAGTGGGGGAGGGGGCCTACCCGCCACCCCCGCCCCCAGGGCCCGGCCAAAGGCCAAGCGCTTACCCAGCGAGTGGTCCTCCTTGAACATCCACTTCATGGCGGCGGTGGGGAAGGGACGCGGCCGGCTCACGGAGCCGCGAAGCTCAGCGTACCAAGCACAACAACAACGGCGGCGGCGGCGGCGGCAGCGACCACACGGCAGGTGGGACTTCCGGCTGCTGGAGCCTAGCAACAGGCCGGGGGCGGAGCTTCCGGCGCCTCTTACTGGGTGCCCTGCTGGGGGCGGGGCCACACAAAAAGGGGTGGGGCAGGAAGGAGCACAGTGAGGGGTTGTGCGATAATGACGTTGGCAACAGGGGCGTCTGCTAGGTTATTGGTGACTGGGGCGAGGATGTCGGGAGCTGATAACAGGAATGGAGTCTCGGTGGCGTTGGTAACGGGAAAGGAAGTTTCGGGGTCTGGCTGGCGGAATAGGACTCTTATAGAGCTGTTCCTGAGGGAAGAAGTATGACTGGGGCGTTGGTGACGAGGGGGATTTGGGAGGTATGAGTGACCGAAGAGGGGTCTCTGGTGGTTGGTGATGCGAGGAGGTCTGTTTAGGGCATTGACTGGGAAGTATTGTTTGGAGTGGTAACACGTTGGGGGCTCAATACGGGGAGTGTGAGTAGCTTGAGCGGACTGTGTGGGGAGGGGTACTGATGACAATCCGTGGGTTCAGTATTGGGGACAGCCATAAAAGGTTACCTTGGACCTCGACATCGAATTTAAACAAATCCTATTTCCTTCTTTTTTTAATGAATAAATGTTTGAATAAACGTTTAAGAAAGATATCACAAATACATATTTGAGGAATGTAGCATCACACTGATCACAGAGACCCCATAATCCTAACTAGCAGAGGAGTTAGAGGTGATTACCAGGCTCAGAGAATTCCCTTGAGAACTGGTCATGAGACGGGCTTCTTTGGAAGTCAGCGTGGGATTCAGCAATCACAGCCTGTGTGTGTGTCACCTGCCTGAGCATATGCCTTGAGATTCTCCAGTGATGTCATTCCTTTTCTCCCTAGTGGAGTCATCAAAGTGGTCTGTTCTGGGTCATCATCTGTTTATGAGCTGGTGAATATGTAACAAGAATATTCACTTAATTGGGCACATGATCCTCACCACGTGATTGTGATTCTGATACATCTGATAGGCCTGTATGTTAGGACATTGTCATTCATCATTTCCTACAGTTGAAATTCCTGATGGATGCTGTGGAATCTAGGATTTCTAATGTGAGGCTCTGGCCTTGTATTGTCAGGGAGCTGATGACTAGTGTGGGCAAGGAGGTGGGTGGGAAACTGCATCATTCCAAAAGTCCATTCCAAAAGTATTTTTGTTATTTAAAGATCGTGTGTCTGAGCAACCAAAATATGCTTCTGTTTGCTTGCTTGTTTTTAATGGAGTGAAAAATCTTGAATTTTGTACCTAGAAATTATTATTGTTGTATGCAGGAGCTCTGTTCTGGGAGTTGGGGAAAAGCAATGAATAGAATGTTCAACACCTAAGCTTTCTTGGAGTTTTCGTCCTAGTGGGACAAGACAAAAAATAAATATGTCAGGTAATGATAGGCACTGTTTAGAAAAATAAAGCAGAGTTAGTGACTAGAAAGTGATGGTGGGACAGATTGCTAATTAGATAAAATAGATAAAGTGCTAATTAGACAAAATATTCTAGGAACAGGAAGGAACCCCTTATGGCTATAGCTAATCACCAAGGGGGAGTATGTTAGGAGTATGTTAGAACAAAACCCTTGAGCTTTGAATTCCACGTGAATAACTTTGGATTTTGTTAAGAATGAAATGAGAAGTCACTAGACAGTTCTAAGCAGAGGTGTGATATGATATAACTTTCCTTTTTAAGTGATCCAGCAAGCTTCTGTGAAGACAGTAACCTATGGGAAGTTGAGCATGGAAACAAGGGGAACAGTTATGAGGCTGTTGTGATAATCTGGGTGGAAGATGTAGGCTTAGACTAAGATGGTGTCTATGGAGGTAGGGGGAGACAGTTGCATTCTATATAGATTTTGAAGGTAGAGCTGATATCCAATTTGCTAATAGATTGGATATTAGGGGTGAGGGACAAGTCAAAGTCAAGGTTTTTTGAAGGATGAAATTACCATTTACTGAAAGAGTAGAGCCAGTGTGGGAGTGAAATCAAAAGTTTGGTTATGGATATATTAAATATGAGATGCCCAAGAGACACACTAAGTGAAGATGTAGAATAGGTAGATGGACCTATGAGTGTCAAACTTAGAAGTATTTAAAGCTATTGACCTGGATGAGTCCACTAGAGAGTGAGTGAAAAAATGAAAATACCTATTTTGCAAATAGAACTGAACACTGAGGAATGAAGATGGTTGTTCACTATCTGATAATGAATCAGTGAACTAGTTAGAAACTGAACTGAAGACCCTACTTCCCTTTACAGAGCTGGTCATTGTGTCCTAGTCCAAGGCAAGTATACACCACTTTGCACCTGGAAGAGCTTAGTACACTTCTCGGGAAAGGTACTGCTCACCAACTTATAGACATGTGACCTGATGGTCTCAATGATATGCAGTGTCTTTCTATTTTGTATCTTTAGCTACTTTCTTGACTTCTTTTTCCAGTTTCCCATTCTAATTGGTTTCTCTGATCTGCCTTGATAACATGTCACTTTTTTTTTTACCTATCGGATCATTATCTTTAGCTTAATGAATGCTCTGAGAACACTGGATATCTTCCTTGACAGATCTTTAGCATTTTATAAAAAACGAATTTCTCTTTTTAAAGAATTGAAACAAAATGTCAAAGACTAGCTTCTTCAAATAATGGAAGCAAAGAGTAAAATATTGGTATCCATTATTAGTAAATGCTTTTGCAAGGCTCATGGCATTAGCTAACGTGTTTCCTTCTTTTGAAGGAAAACTTCCTCAGAACAGAGGAGTCACCCTCAAAAGGTGACACTAGAACCAGCTATTCTAGAACCTTATTTTAATGTTATTTAAATAAATGAAAGCCATCCACTTAAAATATAGATACAGTGTAATGTCAGAATCATAACATCTATTTAAACCTAACAATTGCTGTATTTAAGAGCTGAGCTGTGTTGCCACCCCAGAAAAGCTTCAAAGAAAGAATAAGTAGGACTGGACTGGATACAGAAAAAAGCAGCTTTTGGCTGATGACATTGTCACCTTGGACTGTGGTAAGGACCCTGGATAGCTGGGCAGGCCTTTTTTTTTTTTTAAGTTTCAAGTGGCAGGAGTTCATTAAGCAAAGTGAAAACAAAACACCTCTCCATAAGGCAGGAGAGCAGGCTGTCTGGAAACCAGAAGCAGGCCCAAATGGGCAGGTCTTGACCTCCCAGTGTCTGTGTTGTTAGGATCTCAGCTGTTTTCTTCATCTAAAAGCCACTTCTTGGTTGCTTTCAAAATAGGGGCATCAACTACTAGACTCCACACTGAGCACAGAGTAGTTAAAATAAATCCTTCTGCCATGTTCAAAATATGGTTTGGGGGTGGTGGTGAAAGCATTCAATTGAATGGAAGCATTCAAGTGATAAGCCAATGTTATCTGTGGGGAGGACCATAGCTTTCCTTACAACTGGTTGCCAGACTTATACCCAATATAAAGTAAATATAGCAGAGAGGTATGTAGTTATCATTTATCCCTCGAAGAGCCAGATTTGTGTCCTGTTTCCGGGTCTGTCCTGCTGTGGAGTATAGTGAAAACAACAACGTTTGGAAATAAAGGGCCTGGCTTTGGTCTTACGCCAGGACCAGACCAGGACCACTGCCAGTTCTGTGCATTGTCCTTCAGGGTACAGTGTGCCACGAATGGCTGGACTTTTAAGTATGAACTACACTGAAGATTAACAGATGGCACGTAGCAAGTATTTTAGTTGATTTTTTATGAAAATCTTACTTTACACCAATGTTAACGCGGAGGACTACGACCTCAATGCACAGAAACATCCTACTTACGCTCAGCCCTCTGGGAAAACGTGTGAAACGCGTCCAGCGAGATCATCAGTCAACCAGTGGTCGCCGCGCCCTGTTAGCCCCACCCCTACCCATGCCCCGCGTCCTTCCTATTGGTTCCTTTGCCTGCGTTCTGTTGCCGTGGAGACCAGGGCTATGGCAACCAGGAGAAGCCAAACTTGGTCCTTCCTCTGGAACCGCGGAGGGATCCCGGCTGGTGGCGGGATTCGTCGCGGCGTTCATGGCGCTGTACGAGCTGTTCTCTCACCCTATCGAGCGCGGTTACCGCGCAGGGCTCTGCTCCAAGGCCGCGGTGTTCCTGCTGCTGGCCGCCGCGCTCACGTACATCCCGCCGCTGCTGGTGGCCTTCCGCAGCCATGGTGAGCCTGCCCCGACCGGTGCGCGACACAGCTCCCCGCGGCGGCCTTCCTGACCTTCCCGCCGCATGCCTGTCCTCTTTACCTCAGGGTTTTGGCTGAAGCGGAGCAGCTACGAGGAGCAGCCCACCGTGCGCTTCCAGCACCAGGTACTGCTCGTCGTCCTGCTGGGCTCCGAGCGCGGCGGGTTCCTGGCCTGGAGCACGTTCCCCGCCTTCAACCGGCTGCAGCGGGATCACCTGCGCGTCCCGCTCGTTTCGGTGCGTGGTTCCCGGCTGGGCCTAGCCGCCCATCCGGACTTGGACGGGAGTGGGAGGGAAGAAGGGAGCGAGCTTAGAACCCTCGGAAGCAGCGTACACAAATTCATTAGCTTGAGCATATATTTAATTTCCTGGGAATTAAATCGCATGTTTCGTTCGACTTCTCCAAGCCGTCCCCAACCCCAAGAAACTGCTGCCAGCGTATGAGTGTCCTACCGAGTCCAGACGCCTGGGGAAAGCATGTCTCTGACCGCCCCCTGTCACTCCCTTGGGTCTGGCCGTCGGAAATAGGCATATATTTTTATGCAGACTCGACTCGTGGAAGCCTAGACGCTGATTGGTTAAGAGACCTCCCCAGAAAGTGCTGCCGGTCCAGTCCCTCCTCCCTGGGCTTGTCTCATTAGATGCTGTTTCAGCAGCTGTCCGGATGACAAGGAAGCATTTCACTCTCTATAATGTATATTTGATTCAGAAAGAGTGCTTCCTGTACAATCACTGCCCTTCTGCTTATTTTCTGAAAACATTTTCCTTTAGAAATCTGAAGATTATGGTTTTCCTCTCTCCAAAGTTGAATCTCTTTAGAATAGCTCTGAGATGATTGTCCTACAAGTCAAATCTGTGTAGCTGAGAAAACAAAAATTCGTACTTTTTCCAGCAAGTAAGTAAAATGAAAGTTTTAAATCTGGTCATATGAATAACAACAAAAAAATGTATTTCAGATTACTTTAAATTTTCTTGTATTCTAGTTTTTAAAATGCGTGCTCATTGTAGATTATTGAAGAGCTACAGGTATATATAATGACAAAATTAAAGGCTCAGTTTGGTTAATCAAGGATGTTCTTAACAGCTGCAAAGTATTTCATGCTATGGAGTAACTAATGTATTTAACCAGTTCCTTACTGATGGATATTTGATTTGCTCTTTTTTTTTTTTTCACTATTGGAATGTTGCAGTGAACAAGATTTTGAGTAAATCTTACACCTCTAAACATCAAATTTCAGGGAACTGGAAAACAAGCTGTTGAAATTGTTTAAGTACATAGAAAACTAAGCAAGCAAATAAAATAATTATTCACTTCCGAGAAGTAAGAGAAAAATGAGAAAGGCAAAGAAAAAATGATCAGAGTTGTGAATAGGGTTTACCTATTACTTAGATAACCAGAAGGAGAGTTTAACTTTTTGGGGGTGGGTGGAATGGGGAGAAGGTATCTGGGGATGGGAGGGCTGGCAAGAGGAAGGGCAAGAAAACTAATCTTCATCTCTCTTTGTGGGAAGTCAGTAGAGAATTCTCAAAAGTGAGAAATGAGAAATGTCAATGCAAATGTTACTTGAAGGTATGGAAATATGTTTCTAAATAATCAGGTAAATGAGATGAAAATATTTGCCATGGGGTGGAGATCTGCTGGTTTTGTAGCACACATTGCTGAACATTTTGATTCCTTAAATTATCAGGCCTGTTAAATTGATTGTAAAAGAACTGGGAACAAAAAAATAGAGTAGGAGACAAATTTCTTTCAGTAGCTCCTCACTAATCATGACATGTTGCCTGTTGTTATTCTTTTTTGAGATTCTAATACCCCTGGAGAAGGGTGACTGGATGAGAGGCCAGTGTTGAGGTCCTCTTACTTTTATATACCCACTGCGCTTGCAGGAGTCCCTGTTCCCTTTCCAAATGTGGAGGCAAAGGTTTTTTTTTTTTATTCCAAACGAAACATTAACTTGTCGAGAGCTGAGATAACCACACATCGCATGCAATTTAATCTGGCAAGGAAACAGGCCACTCGGAATTGCTAACTAGGCTTAATTCATTATATCTTGGTGAATGCTGTACTTTTTGGTCTTACAAGTCTTTCAAATTGTGCATTAATATATTTACCCAGGCCTCATGGAAAATGTATGGGGATGGTAATAGAAATACTGTATCCTTGTTTAAATCACATTACATTTTTTAAACAGCTCAAGTGATTACTCAGAAAGATCACACCTTCTTCTGAAGCATTTATGAAACAATTATTTACATTACATTAAAAACTTATTTTGCCTTGAAAAAAATAATTAACTTGTTAGTTTACTTTAGGTTAGCATTTCCTGCCTTTTAAATCTTTGGTAGAATTTTTTTCTTCACATTTGTATTTTCCTCTCTGTCGTACTTTTCTGGCTACTTGAGTATAAGAAATAACCATGAAAATTTTAAATAATCATGAAAACAAGGTATAGCATTAGGTTTCATTCATTTGTTCTTTTCACTTGGTCTTCCACCACAATTTCTTGGCTCCCCAGCTGGAATGCTAGTTAGCTTCTTATCTCTGTAACCAGAAACTACTCCCTTGAGGGCACAGCCCATATTCCTCCAACTGCTGGTGCGTGTGTGTTCCGATTTTAAACCTATGAAACCAAGATTACCTCTCACTTTTCTGGTGCCCATAACTACTAATCCTCTTTAATACTGGGTTATTTTACACTGTAAAACACAGAAACAAAGCCCCTCTTTCTTGGTTTTTTTCCCCCCCCTCCATTCTAAGCCAGTTCTATAAGTAATTTATGATTTTATCATCTACAGTCTTTCTCAGTAAATTATTTGCTTCCTCTCTGGCTGACTATGTGGTTTGACAGTAGTTTGAAATCATAAATGAGTTAAAAAATATAATGGAAGTACAGATCTCAACAGCAACACAAAAGAAAAACTAGTTAGGAATAAATTTAAGAAATGTGCAAGAGTTTTGAAGTTCCATATGAATAAAACTTCAAAAGACTGTTGAACAACACAAAAGAGAAAAAATGGCAATTCAGGTCATGTTCCTGAATAGGAAAATTCAGCATCATAAAGATGTCTGTTCTCCTTATGTTAATCTATAATTTTGATGCGCAATCAATGAAAACAACAATTGAGGGGTTGAAACAGACATATGGAAACATAAGCAAAAAATCTAGGAGAAAAAAGGGAAGTAAATACAAGGAGAATAGCTCTACCAGATATTAAACTATACTTTAAAACTTATTGATAAGAAGCAGTAAGGTTTGAGGATTTGTATAAAAAGCATGGAAATGAACCCAACTAGGACAAAGGTGTCTTTTTAAGACAGCAAGGAAAGGTGACTTATGCAGTGAAATGGTATTGAAATAACTGGGAAGCTATCTAGAAAAAGTAAAGTTGGAGCCAGTCCTCAGACTGTACAGCAGAAATAAAGTCCAGATAAATTAAAATTAGATTTAAAATATGAAATCATAATAGTACTAAATCAAATGAATGAAAGCTTTTGCATCAGAGGGTAGGAAAGGTCATTCTAAGGATGACATAAGATCTGCAGGACATGAACATCTTTGGTAAATGCAGCTATATAAAAAATAAAATAATTTTTTAAATTACTGGCATGGTAAAAAACATAAGCAAAGTCAAAACACAAATGACAACCAAGAAAATTGTTTTACCATTGTGTAACTTGTAAAGGGCTAATTTTCCTAACAGTGCCTGCAGATCTATAACTTAAGACCAACTATCTAATAGAAAAATGGGCAAAGAAAATGAACAGTTTATAGGGAAAGAAGCACACATAACTCTTACACATGTGAAAGTACACTCATAATTAGAGAAACACACATTTAAAAAGCATTTATTATCACTTTTTATCCGTCAAAGGCAAAAATTGTAGTTTGATAACACTGGGCAAGATGTAGGGAAACACGCAAGCATTCCTGTATATCACTGGTAGGAGTTTACATTGGTACAGTCTCTTTGAAGGACTGTTTGTCCATCTGAACATACTGTATTTGTCAAAATTACAAATGCATGTGCCTGCTTCTACTTCTAGTAGGTGTCTTAAAGTTTGTGCACATACATGAAATGACACATGTAAAAAGTTGCCCATTGAAGCATCATTTATAATGGGAAAAGATGGTAAACAACCTATGTAGCAATAGAAATCTCACGGAAGAAATTGTGGTTCATCTACCCAGCAGAATGTTACATAGCTTTTGTTTTTAGTGAAGTGGTTCTACATATACTGATGTACAGTAATAACCTCCAAGAGAAATTGATAAGCACAAAAAACGAAAAATTGTATATTTCCATTTATACAAAAATAATAGAAAAAATTAAAAGAATATGCATGTGTGCATATGTATCTTATATATACACACCCACATGCATAAATGAATGCTTTGCTACCTGGAAGGATATGTGTGTGTGTGTGTGTGTGTGTATACATCTATGTATATTCACACATATGCATGTATGCTTTCGCTATCTCTGAAAGGATTCAGAAGAAACTGACAGCATTGATTGCTCTGGGAAAGTAACTAGATTACTGAAGTTACAGTGAGAGAGACTTTTTTACTACATAGTCTTTGTACGTTTTTAATTTTGTACCATGGGAATGTAATACATATTCAAGATTTTAAATTATAATGACAGTTTTTAAAGGAAAAGTTTAAAAGTGCCCATATAAGACAAAAACAAATCTAAACAAAAATTTTAAAGCAGATAAGTATATAAAATGGTGTAGCAACTTTGGAACATAGTTTTCAGTTTCTCAAAAAGTCCAGCTTACAAGTTACCATATGTTCCAGCATTTTCACTCCTAGGTATATGTGTACCCAAGAGAATTGAAGACATAAATCTACACAAAAACCTGTGCACAGTTGTTCATAGCAGCCTTATTCATGATACCAAAGAAGTGGAAACAACTCAAATGTCCATCAATGAATAAATGTATAAACAAAATGTGTTACATCCATGCAATGGAATATCATTTGGCCACAAAAAAGAGTGGACTCATAATACATGCTACAACATGTATGAAACTTAAAAACGTTATGCTAAGTGAAAGGATCTAACTACAAAACACATATTATATGATTCCATGTATATAAAATCCCCAAATAGCTCTGTAGAGATAGGAGGAGATTACGGGTTCCAGGGGCTTCAGGAATTGCAGAATGGGGGAGACGAGTAGTGACCTGCTAACTGTGGTTTCTTTTCACAATGAAAATGTTTTGAAATTG